TGAAAACAGCACAGTCCTGTTTTCCGCAAAAAAGCCCCGATCGCGAAAATGGCGATCGGGGCTTTTTTGCGGAAAACTGCATCTAGATTGGCCATGGACGCTTTTCCACAAAAAGTGCTTCTGCGGAAAAGCATCCTGCCAATCTAGACGCGCTTTTCCGAAAATGCTTTTAATAGAAAACTTTTCCGTTAAAAGCATTTTTGGAAATTCATGCCAGTGTAGATGTAGCCAAGGTGTGTAACCAGGGAACAGTTTGAGAATGTTTGGTCTTTGTCAAAGATTCCAGGACTGTCTGTGCTTGCCAGCGTCCAGCCTTGGGGAGTGTAGCCTGTCTGCTCCCCAATGCTAGTTAAAATAAACTTACTATATTTGTCTGCCCGGCCTGTGGTGGGGAGTGACATTTCCCTGGTGGATAAAGTACCCCTGTGTCCGTGTAATTTTGTGACAGGGCTGTGGTGTCAGAGGTGTTCTGTAAATATAAGTTCTACTTTTGTACCTCCTTCCACTCGAGGCTCTCAGTGCAATCTGACTGAAATTAGCAAAACCTTAGAAGTGGGGTCACGAGCATCACCCTCCTGTTGCAAAGAGGTAAACTGAGGTACAGAGCAATGACTTGCCCCATATCCTACAATAAGCATCCAGCGCAGGAAGACTGCCTCAGTCTTCTCACCTGTCAAATGGGCAGATATTTCCCTAACTCCCAGGGAAGGGTTGAAAGGCTAAATTGACTGATATTCGTGAAGATCGTGGAAGGTGATATAAAAGTTCAAGCGCTTGAATAGTATTCTGATTATTTACATATTTAATGCTTTCCCATCAGCGTTGGAGTGGGGCAGGCGTATAGGGACAGGGAAACTGGAACAATCGAGCAGCAATAACTTTGCTTCCCTGCTCACGTGTCGCCTACGCTGAACCTTGAGGAGACGTGGGTTAAGTGTAAAGAGAAACGGTTACTTCCCTGTATCCCTGCGTCCCTTGATCCGTGCAGGGAGCAGACGCTGGCTTGTTGCTACTCCAGTGAAAGGGCACTCTGTATTTTCTGTTCAGTGCAGAGCAGGTAAATACTGGGAAAAACTGCAGGGAAACAGCTGCTTGTTTTGCCGGCTTTGGAATTTTTGAGAATTGAGTAAAACCCAAAAGAGTGAAATCGTGGCTCTACTGAAATCGATGGGCATTTTACCATGGACTTCGTTAGGGGCAGGATTTGACTCCAGGGCTTTGATGGAACCTTTTGACCGTCACCCATAGGCCAGTGTTCGCGGGGTAGGGATTAATTAATCACTCCCCGGATGGCCTAGGCAAAGGGGGACCATGATGGAGGCATCTGAGGAATCCAGGTAAATTCACCCCCTGGAAGAGTTCAGCGATTTACGTGTCTAAAGGTCCTGCCCCCCTTTCCGTTTGGCCACGAGCCCTGTAAGCGCACTCACGACAGTGTAGTGGGTGGTGCTGGTCTACTCTTGGCCGGCAGTGGGCTAGCCGGGGAGGTGTTGGCTGGAGGAACGTTGGCTGATGAAAGATGGTCGGGGAAGTGGGAGGAATCGCCTTGAACGTCCCAGGCCTGCAGCCAACATTCCGACCTCTGTGAGTCATCACGCTGTGGCGCCGGATTCCGGAACGTTTGAGACTGGGCGGGGCTCTTGTGTCCAGCCCATCGGCATATCCCTAAAATGGGAATATCTCCAGGAGCATGTCTGACTCCTTAATCTCTTTACATTCTGCAGGGGCTACTTAGACCTCTGCCAGTGCTACACAGCTCTAAGTGGCCTCTGGAGAATCTCCATTAGGCATATAGGGCCTATGATACACAGTGGAGCAGTTCTGTTTCCATCCAGCAGAGGGCAGTCACACACACATGTAAATGTTTGTATGCTCTGGGCCAGTTCATTGCAACATCTTGTATTTTAATCCTCTCGCTATAGAGTGGTGTCTCTAAAACTCTGGAGGACTGAGAGGGAGCAGCATATAGGAACGTGAGAACTATGCAACAAATGTCAGGTGTTTATAATAGTCCTCCAATTTGCTACTTGGAATTCCTGAATTCCTGGGCCAACAGCTGCTTAGAATCAGTGGTGCAAGTCCAAAGTAATTTCATTGCAATCATGGAGTCCCTGCTGATTTACACCATGCAACAGAGAGAAGCGTTTATCCTCTTGTCTTTAGGGCAAAGAGCCAAGACCCAGTCTCCCGTATCAGATGGGAATGAAACTTCTTGTTGTATGCATGGTTGCTATAAACGTAACCTCTGATTGTCTTGTCATGCCAGGGAACTGAAAAAAGAGACATGTGAGTTTTAGGTTGTGAGACAGAATCAATCCTAGTATTTAGTGTTTGTCCAAAGAGAACAACCCCATAGTCTGCAAGAAAAAAAAAATGTCTTGGCAACAGGTAAAATAATACTTCTCTTTAGTCTGAGACATTGGTGTAGCCACTAGAAATGATACAGTTACAGAAACAGTTGGGTGAATAATTGATTTTTTTTTCAGTTGGTTTAACACTTTGGGTTTCCTCAAAGTCAGTTTTGACGCAGCTCCCAACTCAAAAAAACGTAGGAAAAGAAGAGTTTGAAAATGGTCAAAAGGAAACATTCTGACATTTTCCAAAACGAACAATTCCAAGTGACTTTTTGTTGGGAAATGTAAGCTGAGACTGAAAAAAGGATGAAAACGAAAGAAAAAAAAATCACAACTCCCCAAATGGAATATTTTAATTTACGCCACCAATTTTTTGTTTTATGAAAATTGTAGAAATGTCAACTTCCCACCTGAATTTAGGATGGGGGATTTTTTTCTTTGACCTCTTGAAAATTTTCAGGGGATTGGAAAACCCTTTTCTACCCAGCTTGAATTATGGATGGGTGTCTTCATATGGCGGCATGCTGACCTAACTCTGCTCTCGTTGACATTGGAGAGGAGACTCTCCGTGATTTAACAAGCTGGAGCTGAGAGCTTTTGAAACACCCATCGTATGACGCTGCTCTCCGTGATTTAACAAGCTGGAGCTGAGAGCTGAGAGCTTTTGAAACCCCCATCGTATGACGCTGCCGTCTGACCATTGGATTGCAAAGCGCAGTTTGATGCTCTCGTAATGTACGATTTTGGGGATGCAGGAGGAGGGACTGGAATATCGGCATGCTTTCTGAATCCTTCCCCGGGAGCTTTGCAGCACACGGTGACAATAAAATCTTCTGTGTCCTGCAGGAAGAACACAGGCGGGGAAAAGACGATGCTCCAGAAGTGGCAGGTAAATGCAGACCATCTCTGGCTAACTCTCTGATTGCTCAAACCGGGTCAGTCCTGAGTAGAGGAAAGAAAAGGACCGAGTCTTCCTGCCCTACTGCTGTGTCCTAGGAATCCAGCCGTACCGCTTAATGTGCAAACCTCTCCCCGCAGGGCTTAGCGTCAACCTCTCACTCGTAGGGAGCATGGGTGAGTCCCTTCCTGGGGTGCAGATTAGCCCACACTGGGGTACCGTGAGGTTCCTCGCACCTTTCTCGGAAGCAGCTGGTGCTGGCCAACATTGGAGACATGACACAGGGCTCAATGGACCTCGAGCGTCCGGATTTTGCTGCAGTGATGCCTAAGAGGGCCCCTCTAGTCAAGACGTGTAGAAGGAAATCCAGGTGTAAATCATCCAAGCGCCACTGATTTCACTGCAGTGACCCTCTCCTGCACCGGCTGCATGTCCGGACTGTAGCTTCCAGGCTGTGTCTGATAAAGATCTTGATGGCCACAGAAGACCGCGTAGCCCCACGCTGGTTCCCATTGGCTTTGCAGGGTGTAGATCGTCGGGAGAAGATCCAGGCTACGTGTGCACTGCCAGTTTTTGCGGCAGAACATACGCTAAAAAAGTCGCGACCTCATTAGCATCTTTTCTGCCGCAAAAACAGGCAGTGTAGACAAAGCCCCAGAGTCCCGAGAAGGCTTCCAAAGTTGCAAAGCAGCTGCCGTCTCTGAGGGCTCAGACTCCAGGCCAACGGGCATCGCTGCCAGCTGAGCATTGCTACCAGCTGGGGCCTCTTTGTAGTGCCTGCACAATGAGCTGGTGGGTTCCAGCCAGTTTCTGGAGCATAGATGCCCAGATCTGTGTGTGTGTGTGAGAGAGAGAGAGAGAAGCAAGAAGGCTTCCAAAGTTGCAAAGCAGCTGCCGTCTCTGAGGGCTCAGACTCCAGGCCAACGGGCATCGCTGCCAGCTGAGCATTGCTACCAGCTGGGGCCTCTTTGTAGTGCCTGCACAATGAGCTGGTGGGTTCCAGCCAGTTTCTGGAGCATAGATGCCCAGATCTGTGTGTGTGTGTGAGAGAGAGAGAGAGAAGCAAAACACATGCCCCCTATCCTCGTTTGAAGCCCCATGCCCCCTATCCCCATTTGATGCCCCTCGAGGAGCCTACAGCCGCTTCACCTCGAGATTTGTGCTGGTTGTTCCCCGACATGGCAGAGGAGAGAAATCAGTAACTTCGACTACCTGATGTACCTGAACACGCTGGCCGGGCGCACCTACAACGACTACATGCAGTACCCCGTCTTCCCCTGGGTCCTGGCCGACTACCACTCCCAGGTGAGCAAGGGGGGCGCAGCACGAGCTGTGCGAAGGCTTCTTCACTGACCTGAGTGCTGGGGTGCGCCCGCAGGGTCAGGGCCTGACCCCCTCTCCTTCCTGTCCCTGCAGACAGCTGAGGAGCGAGCAGGCTCCACGTTCCCCTCCCCCGAGAGTGGGCCCC